GTGACGGGTATGGCCGTGATGGTGGCTCGGGTGACGGTGGCAGGGGCGACGGTGGCAGGGGTGATGGCGGGGACGATGATGTTGGAAGGGGCGACGGCGGGTGGCTAGGGTGACGGCGGGGATAGTGACGGTGGCAGGGGTGACGGCGGAGATGGCGACGGTGGCAGTTGATGGCGTCAGGGGCGACGGTGCTTTGGGTGATGGCTGAGATGCTGACGGTTGCTCCGGCAACAGCGGGGATGCATATGGCGACGGCGGCAGGGGCGGCGCCGGGAATGGTGATGGTAGAAGGGGCGACGGCGGGTTGCTCGGGTTACGGCAGGGTTGGTGACGGTGGCTCAGGCACCGGTGGGGTTGGCAGCGGTTGCAGGGGCGACGGCGGGGACGGTGATGTTGGAAGGGGAGACGGCGGGGTTCGTGATGGTGGCTCTGGTGACGGTGGGGTTGGCGAAGGTGGCAGGGGAGATGGTGGCAGTTGTAATGGCGGCAGGGGCGACGGTGGTTTGGGTGATGGCGGGGATGGCGAAGGTGGCAGAGGTGATGATGGCAGCGGTGACGGTGTTTAGGGTGACGGCGGGGATGGCGACGGTGGCAGGGGTGATGGTGGCAGCGGTTCCGGTCGCTAGGGCGACGGCGAGGTTGGTGACGGTGGCAGGGCCGACGGCGGAGATGGTGACGGTCGCAGGGGTGACGGCGGGGATGGCGAAGGTGGCAGAGGTGATGTCGGCAGCGGTTCCGGTGGCTTGGGTGACGGGGGGGATGCCGACGGTTGCTCCGGCAACGGCGGGGATGCATATGGCGACGGCGGCAGGGGCGACGGCGGAGTTGGTGACGGTGGCAGGGGAAACGGTGGCAGTTGTAATGGCGGCAGGGGCGACGGTGGTTTGGGTGATGGCGGGGATGGCGAAAGTGGCCGAGGTGATGGCGGAAGCGGTTCCGGTGGCTTGGGTGACGGGGGGGATGCCGACGGCAGCTCGGGCAACGGCGGGGATGCATACGGCGACGGCGGCAGGGGCGGCGCTGGGGATAGTGATGGTAGATGGGGTGACGGCGGGGATAGTGACGGTGGCAGGGGTGACGGGTCCGGGTGCGCGAGTGCTGCCGTATTTGGATGACTCCCTCTTCGTGTTTATTTCTGAGGAGCAAGCGCGTCTTGGTGCGCGCTGGGTGCGTGAGAGTATCGAGTTCTTGGGGTTGTCGTGTCACCCCACCAAGTGCCAGTGGGAGCCGTCGCAGTCAGTGTACCACTTAGGCATTACGATCAATAAGCTGGTGTGTTTGAGGTGCCTAAGCAGAAGCTTGCCAAATTGCGGCGGCTGGCGATCGGGTTGCGGATCACGGCAAAGAAAAATCGGCATCTTGTCCAGAAGCGTGAGCTGGCTAAGTTTTGTGGTTTTGCGCAGAGTGTCAAATCGGCCCTTACCCCAGCGCCTTTATTTCTCCGCAATTTTTACGATGACATTAAGCAGCCGGTTGGCTGGTCCGGTCGAGTTTGCTTGTCCCGTGGATCGTTACGTGACTTAGATTGGTGGGCGGACATCCCTACCTACCACTGCTTGGCGGCTATTCACCAGAGTCCTGCTGCAGTTGAGCTTTCAGTGGATCGCCATTCGTGGGGCGCGGTCCTGCATGGTCGTGTGGCGCGCGGTTATTGGTCGGCACCAGAGCTCTATGAACACATCAATTGGAAGGAGTTGCACGCTGTTCATCATGCTTTAGAGTCCTTTCTCCCGTTCGTTCAGCAGCGTGTTGTGTTAATTAGGGAGGACAACATGTGCACGCAAGCAGTGCTAGGGCATCTTTCCTCACGCTCGGCAGCTCTGCATGCCGAACTAAAATTATTATGGGAATTCATGCAGAAACATAGTATTGTTTTGCAAGTCGAGCGTGTGGCTAGTGCTGACAACGAGGCAGATGAAGCCTCGCGTTGGGTAGACCGTGATGATTACCGCTTGCATCCCCGGTTTTTCCGCCTTTTGGAGCACCGCTTCGGTCTGCACCATGTCGACTTGTTTGCCATGCACATTAACACACACCTCCCGGTTTTCTTTTCTCGCCACCATTGCCCGGGTTCATCGGGGGTCAATGCTCTCTTGCAATCTTGGGCAGGGCTTAATGCATATGGCTGCCCACCCTTGGACCCCGACTTCTTGCTCGCTGTGGTGCAGAAAGTGCGCGAGGAGGGAGCATGCCTCACCCTAGTCGTGCCTTACTGGACGGCCCAACCCTGGTGGCAACAGTTGATGGAGTTGGCGGTTGACCTTGTGTTCCTGCCGTCCAATACGGAGCTGTTTGCGCCGGGCAGGGGTGGGTCGAGCACCTATCTACCAGTGGCAGTGCGGGTGCAGCCGTCATGTGGGCGCTTTGCTTAGCACTCGGTCGTTCCGTGAGGCGCTGCAAGTTCGGTTCGCGTGCCCCGCTAGGAGCGCTTTCCTAGCATTTCACCCTCCCCCGTGGGGCGCGTTATATGTTGTAGGGGCAGTGGGACCGTCTTTGAGGTAACACCGTAGTTGCTTTGCGCAGGGGAGCAGTTATGCAGTTATGTGGAGCGAATAGGAATTTGTTGTGTTAAGGTGTGCGCTCCTTAGGCACCGTGCAGGTAGTTGGTTTTTCGTCGCTTTGTGTTAACCTGCGTTTGGTTTCTCGTGATTTCGGAGCAGTTTCGCTTGCTTGGTATCCGGTGGTACCGCTGGTTCCAACCCTGCTGGATTTGGGACTAAGTTTGAGTAGTGCCTTTGGCGCGGAATAGGTCCCGGTTTCTCGCTGGATCTGCAATCCGTTGCGGCACCCCCGGTCTTTGATAACTTGTTGGTATCGCAGCTGTCGCTCACCGGCCTAGGGTTGGTCCATTCCGCATGTCTTTGCCAGGTTAACTTGTCCCAGGGTTGGTGCTAAGACCTGGCATCACTGTGTTTGTGCGTTTTCTGTGTCGCGGTAGGCTGGGGCTACTTCTGACTTCGTTTATGTCGGGCTCCTGTGGGGTCAGTTCCTAGCTGCCAAGAGTTTTATCCAAGCCCGTGCTGCTCAGCCTTATTTTCAGTGCCATGAGCTCCGTCAGCTCAGTGTATGACTTGCTCGGTTAACCAAGCGCCCTGTGCTGGAGACAGCCCCTGCTGGCGGCGTTTTGTATAGTAGTTGGGTGCATTTGCAGCACCCCGTGGCTCTGTCAGACTCTCTTTGTGCTGGTCTTTATTACAGGTGCTGTGTGGATTCTTTGTAAATAACACCCTTGATGATTGACTATGCATGGAAGAGAGCTACAGGGCTCGCTCAATACAAGTATGAAACTTGTTATGGAAAGACGAGTACGAGGATTTTCAGGTAGTGGTGGTGCAACTGCTGGGGATAGAAAATGTTGCTAAGCAACATATGGTCCCACATACAGCTGCAGGTAGAGCAGGTAGGAGTACTACGTGGTCGCGGGCTGGTGCGGGGGTTGCACAGCGGGGTGAAGGCTCATGATGGCTTTCGCTCCAAACTCCAAGAAAAAGCTTTTAAGCAATCGGAATCAACACAGGGCCAGGGCATAGCCAACCGGTCTTCTCCGGACCGATTTGGCATGTGTACGGCGGGGATGTACGGCAGAGGGAACTTAAAGCACTGCAGAACTTACTGTGTGCGTAACGCCAATTGTTGGTAGGAAACGTCATACGTTGCGGGGACGAAAAACGTTCGTTCCCCACCCTATCCACTGTCTCTTTCCCCTCATCAAGCCGTCATCCAACAACCCCACCGCAAGCGGCCATACATCATACATCAGCGCGAACGAGTAAATTCTCGTCCGTGAAAAAAGAAAGAAGAAATAAACCTCTGAAAGGGTGACGCAGAATGCATAAGAGAAGCACCACCACCCCCACCCCCACCACCACCCCCACCCCCACCACCACGTGGTCGGGTGGCTGCCATCAACGCCACCCGCCATTCGCACGCTCCCACTCTGCAGCACTTCGCAACATTGCGGCACTTGGAGACGGCCCGTCAATCAGCTGGACGCGTATCTCAAGACTCAAGAATGATGATGTGACCAGCACCAAGAATACGCAGTAACTGCTTTCCGTGTTCACGTGTTGAATGCTCATCTAGTCATCAAACCCTAAGTGTTCCCTCGAGTCCTCGCAACCGAGGTGCGGGTTTCGGTCAGCTCCCATATTGGTCGTTTTTTTCACCAAACAGAAGCAACTAACTCGCCAACCGACCAACCGACCGCACAACCAACACAGCTACTTAATTAGCTATCAGCAATACATGGCAGGTGTCCTCAAGAATCGTCAACCAACATTTGGTTTCCTGTGCTGTCGACCACCCGTACAGTGTCGTACTTACAGAAATACAACTCAGGTAAGGTGTACAGGCGTTGATGTACGGTGCACTCAGACGTTTGGATTCGGCGCGCTTGAAAAATCCGAAAATTCAATGCAATCGCTCCCGGACCGCTCTCGTAATGCCCTCTCCCAACTGCGACATCCGTTTTTTACTCGGCATCAATCCAAAGCCGCCCCCTCCTCTCCCCCCCCCTCTCTCCTCCCCCCCCCCCACATACTTACTTAAACAGACGCATACTGCTGCTATTAACTCGGCTTCAATGTCTATCCCTTTTCCAGAGCACCACTGCCGCCACGCCCGCTGCTAGCACACGCCTTCCCCTCTTCATCAACTTCGCCCATACCGATGTTCCTATTTCGCCATCAACCACTTTCTGACCTCTCCTATTCCTCCTCCGTCCATCGCTCCTCCGTTCCAACCTCCTTTCTTAGACGTACATGACAACCTGGAAAAAACCCCTTCGGGAGCCACCCTCTACCCCGGGCAGCATAAAACCTAACA